TGATTTCTATTTTAATTGGTGCCTGAGAAAGCTGCGGTGGCCAAATGCCTGTGATTCTCATTCTAGCTCGCTTCAAACCTGCACAGCAACTCTCTCACATTTGTCTTAAGTTTGGTAGAAATGGCCGCCTTTCCCTGGACAACGTGTTCACAAAACATTCCTCATACAGGCCACATATTACTACTAATTAACTCCACTGCCATTATAATGTGGCGTGAACATACAGTAAAGCAAGACTTTTATATGAATTCATCATGAGTACAAGTCTGGAATATATGTGTGTGTGTGGTTTATTCCTGCGTGCAATACTTTTGAATAGACAAGTTTCATACACGTACTCAAAGAAAGAATTATTTCGATGAGTTTAATGATTAAAACCTGTATACCTTATTGATTAGTTTGCCCCTGAATTATCAACTGTCCTTATTTACAAATAATCCCTTGCTGAATTTATGTAGAAAGTGGGACAAAAAATTATGGAGAATTTACATACAGCAGATACTTGCAAAGCACCAGAGCGAGTCATAAAATTTTGCAATGAAGCAAAAAAGACAATGTTTAAATAATCATTTAGCACTTCATATAGTTTTGTTACAGGTCATCTGCAGCTAGGGCTTATTAGATTCTTTTTCTAGTATTAAAGAATTACCTCTTTTAGTACTACAAGCCATTTAGCTAACTTTTCTTCTACCACAATTAAGAGAGGAATGTAAAGATAGCAGTGAATACAATTTCTATGGAAAAATGAAGTTGCTTTATGGTTTTTTTCTTTTTTTAAGCAATGTCATTTTATGGTTACATTTATGTTCTCAAATTACAGTTTGTAGGTATTAGTGTTACTATGTACCTTCATAAATTCATTCTCAGATTTCCCAGTAACAATTAGAGAAAGGTGCCAGGCAGAACTTACCTGCTACTCAGGTCCGTTTCCTCTTCCCGTACAGAAGAGTTTTATTAGAAGAAGTGACAACATATCAACACCACTTATCCGGAGCTTATAAGGAAGACTCAATAGCTCCTACAAATTCACATGGTCTCTCAACCCATATGAGTGAATGTCCAGTTTTAGTTACGCGGAGTAACACGGTTAATATTCCTGTGATTCTCAACATTCATAGGGGATTGCAACCAGAGAAGCCCAGAAAGCCCTGCACAGCTAAACGTCTTCAGATGACAGCCAAAATAGAGAGAGAAGCGTTTGGAAGAAGTTTTGGAGCTGTTATACAAGATTTTGCAGGGCCTATGATTTTCTTCTTTTTAATTCTGACCGAGGGGGAAAAAATAGTAGACATTTTTCAATGTTGTAGCTTACAAAAGTGTTTGGGAAGATGGACTGCTGTTGTAGAGTATGCTCAGACATTTTTTTGAAAGGTGAATGCGGTTCTTAAGCTGGATAACACCAATATAATGAAGTGAATGCGTGTCTAGACAGCACCCCGATTTTCCATTTGTCTTCCATTCTCTTAATGGCATCCTTCCTCTACCTCTTCTCACAACTCTGTATCAAAAGTTTATCATGGTGGCTAAGAGGAGAAAAAAAAAATGCAATCTCTTCCCCATGTGGCTGTGCAATAAAGAGATTTGACACAAGCAACATTATAGTATTTATGACTTTGATGCAAGCCAGCAAATTTTTTAGACGCAAAAAGCATTCCAGTTCAAGGGGCTGGTTTCTTATTGTCATTGCTCAACATCTTCTATAAATCTAGAGCAAACAAAAGCATCGGAAACAGTTGCATGAATTCTCCTGTCAAGCCAAGCAGCTAAAATCCTGAGGAAATCAAGCTAGTAGAGCAAAAGTCAAGAGCAGAGAAAGATTTTATTCTGCATGCCTAGGCAGTTGATGCTAGGCTTTCTTCAGCATTGCTATTTTAGTTTGAAAAAAAAACCCAACCCACCTTTTAAGGGCTAATAACTGGCTCTTTTCTAGTTGTTAGGTTTTTAGTTCCCTGTAAAATCCCTTCTAAGTTTTGTGGGGTTGAAGTAACTGGACAACCATCTCCTAAACAGAACAGTGGTAGAACTGAAAACACAAGGCACAGACCTGTGCTGTATCCCGTCAGTACCCTGCCTTCCTTCACAGTGGGAAGGGATTGGAGACCTCTACTCAAATGGTTTTTTTTTAATCACATAGTCCTTTTCACCCTTCCTGTGAGAGCTTGCTTCCCCTCAGCCTTAGATTACTGGCTTGAAAGCAAATCATTAGAGTATCTAAAGCTTTGGTAGCTTACTTAAATTGAGTTATCAACTCATACATGAAACAGAAAGGCTGATTACTGCCAAAATATAAATATACTTATTTACAGGAAACCTAAGTAGATAATATCCTATTCAGTTCTCAAGTATTCTTGCTCTACACTGTCAATAAACGTGCCCTCTATTCATGACATTCACCCTGAAAAATTTGATGGCAACACTTTCTGACTAGTCTTGTGCTTGTGTATAACTCGGCAGTGTTATGGCATAGGAAACTCATATCATGACAAGATTTTTCATGATTATGAGCAGTAGCTCAACAATGGAATTCTCCTTTATGGGCCTGTTCCAAGAACTGTCAATAAAATCTTCCAGTTCAAGCAGGACAGTTTTGATCACCCCCTTAAGCGGTTTAAAGAGTCCAATTTCTTTGTCAAGGTTCTCAGAGAAAGAAGGCAATTTCTCAGGGCACACAATATTAGTCCCTAACCTATCAGTCATTGTTATGAGACAAGCCTTGAGAGCCTGATGGCTGAGGTCTATTAACTGCTCACAAGATTGATAACAAGGTAAGTTGCAAGGGAAACGTTAGATTTCCAATCAATTTGACAATCTTTTAAACTTCTTGCAATACCATAGTAGAATAGATGCTGCCTGATACGCACAGATATTTCATCAGAAACTATGTTTCATTTATGATTCCATAAACAAAGAGAAAGGTAACTGCATCTGCACAAGCCAGGAAGCTGAAGCCCTTCTCTTTCAACACCCGCTTAGTCTCAGCTCGGAAATTTCTCTTCTGCTTAATCAGGAAATTACAGTGTGAAATAGCAGACTATGTAGTTACTTCAGAGTGTGCAGCCATTATACATCTATAATGTTTAAGTAACAGTGTTAATTTTTTTTTAGGGTAAGCTAGTACTACTCTAGAGCAATACCATCCAGTCTTTTCATCTCCTAGATGAGACTATTTCAAAGATTTCTTCATATTAGGGCACATAAGAAAATGCAAGCCAAAAATACCAGGGAGGAGTTGTGCAGACTCACGCCAAACCCCTATTTTCCAGTTGTCCTCATGTCAGACTTTAGAAATTGACAGTGCCTCAACTCTTCCAAAGAAAAAATGAGGTGGAGCTGGAGGTTGTCTAGCTGCTGGGAAAGCAGACAGCCCTCTGTTCCCAGAACGACGAGTGACAGAAAAAGGCAGTTCCCTGTGAAGCAGATTCTTGCCTACATGGAGAAGTGGCAAGAATTCGGATGCGCTTTTAAGCCCAACCAGTTCTGGGTATGCAGCACACGGTCAGACAGGAGCTCACTGACTGTGCCCATCATCTCAGCTTTTTTCCTGTTCCAAACGAATACTCCACGCTACTCCATTCACACTGCTTGCGCCCACATAACCACACTCTGATCTTTTCGGTGGTTTACTGCAGCTTTGCTTACATCTCTTCCCAAGTAATTAATTTTGCAGTTCACCTAACGAGTCTCTCAGTCAATTTCACCATAATGTAAGTTAATTCCTATACTGTTACTGCACAGCTTGCAGGTGTAGACACAACCCTTCAACTGTATGATGCTGTAGATCTGAGATAATTCTTAAAATGTGCTATTAATAAATGGACATAAGAACTATTTTGACATCTATTATTATAAATATATAAGCAAACCCAGAATCAAAGATTAGAACTCAATGAGCCAGGCATCATGTACTTAGTATTGCTTACTCTTCAGAGCAGATTTTGCTTTTTCATTGCAACCCTGGAAGCATGAGACATTCAAATCCTAGTAACAAATTAATTTACTCAAATATTTTGACATATCAGAAATTCTTAATATCTGGCCAATGTTAATTAAGAGTCTTGAAAAGCCCATTAGGGCTAAAAGTCAGCTGTTTCACAAAAAAGGGAAAAAAAGGCAACACTCGGTAAGTTCTGAATGGTGGAAGCACTAGCAACAGAACAGTCATACTATTTTCCCCAGAAAAATTATCTGGGTTCTCTAAGGGTGAAAAGAAAGTTTGCCAATGTTTTTCTGCAACACTTCAATGCACGTATCATAGTTTGAAATCTGACATTCTACTTCAAAAGACCTAAGGAATAGCAGTCCATTTTATATTGGAATAGCTACGTATGCTTTTGTATTCATAATTGGTCCTGGGTTACATTTTAGATGTAAATGAGCAGCTGTTTTACTGTAATCACACGCGGCCCAGATTTGTAGCTTCTGTGACATTTTAGTCTTTCCCTGCATTGACGAATGTACATTTTTGAAATATTATTGCCTGCCCACCACCATTGTAGCCTCGTAAGAACAGTTATCTAATTCTACAACGGTAGAGATATGAAAATAATACATGTAATATAGTTACTCTACTTTTGCCCAACTTGTGTATTCTCCATGTTTGTTCTGTTTGCAATGTGTATTCCACCCTCCTCCATTTCAGTCTTTTACAGTTCTCTCTCAAAAAATCCTTCTAGTATATTTATACCCCATTTCACTTTTTTCCTTACCGAGTCTCTCCAGCCCCTCAATCCTGTGGTAGTATCTTTGACTCTGCCCATCACTGATCTGATAAACTAAGACTAAAAAGCAATTCACTTTTGTAATTTACAAGATACAACTGCAAAAATTCTCACTGCATCAAGGTTATGGAGCATTTTAAAAAACATTATCTGGGCTGAGTGCTTCAATTTATGTAATCTGCTTTTCTTAATTCCTTTGCATATTCATAAGAGAGTACACTAGACATTACCAAATGGATAAATTCAGATTTAAAGAGAACATGAAGGAAAGCCAAACATTTCACTAGAATGTTACCATTTTATCACAACATTAAAAGAAACAGTGTTAAGCATGTCCCAGCTGTGGTATAAGAGAATTTTTTTTTTTAATCTTGGACACTGTACCTGTTATACAGATACCATGACTGAAATGAATCACAAGCTCATACAGTCTTAATTATTCATAAGTATGTCTGTTCTAAAGGAATCTTCCTATATTCTTCAGCATATTTGATGGACAAAGCAGAGTTCTGTAGCACTAAACACCCTTTAATGATTCACGTGAGCAAATTTTTTTTTTCCTCTCACACTGTAATCTGTCCTTGTGTTTACTCCAACAATTTTCAGAGGTGTACATAGAAAAAAGGGTAAACGTAAAGCAAATTCTTCTATAAAACCTAAAAGTATTTTTTCTTTCTTTAATAAAAAACTCTGTAGTATTGACTTAAGAAAATTATATTCAACTATCTTCTTCCTTACAACAAGCATGGCAAAATTAGCTGGCCATATTCTCCCTTTCTACCTTTAGTCTCCCCTCCAAAGAGTCTTCCTGAACTGAAAGATAAAAGATGTTCCCAGAAACAAAACCATAAAGACCCCTAAAAATGTGAATAGAGCAGTTTAAATTGGAAGTAACTGTCAGATGGTTTTGATCAAGGTAGTCTGTTCCAATGCCACAAGCCATTTTAATGAATGTATGATTAACGAGAAAACTGTCGACTGTCCGATTTCTTGCTAATATGTTTGAAGATTTTAGCTTTGTGGACATTCTTCGATTTCTGGTAACCAAATCCCCCACCTCCACCTCTTTTCTGTAGTCTTCTGCCATGGTTGCTGTTCACATCTGGAATTTTATTGGTTAAAGAACTTAAAAAGGAGTAATTTGAAATGTTGCTTTTTAGGTATTGTAAGAGTTATTAATGTGAGAAAAAAAATAACAGCATTATACAAAAAGTTGAGTTGCATAACTACAGACAAAACTAGAGCTTTGTGCCTGTAGTTCTAAATAATGCTTTAACTCCTCCAGTTATACAACTAAGTTGGCCGAAGTACTACTGCTTCAAATTCCATCCACTGGCAGGTTTGACAGTAATCTAGATACAGTCTTCTATTTCATGCTCTTGCCCCCTATTTCAGTATTGCATGATTATTAAACTTAAGCACGTACCTTTCAATGAAATAATTTTGCATGGAGGAGAACAGTAGTCTAGAACATGTATGCAATATTCCAGTATCTGCTACCCTGCAGCAACTGAAGCACGTACATGCACTAGAACATAGATGTTTGTAAGCAAACATGAAAACTGCAAAAATTGCAATTTAACATTTTCTTTGATAAACATTGTTGGAGCATGATGCATTTATGTGATTAATAGCAAAAAAAAAAAAAAAATCAGAATATGAAGTGGCGTAGGAACTTCACTAAGTTGCATTTAACATTTATAAAGCAGAAATTCAGCTTTGAAACACTGCAGTAAAAGGATACTGAGGTCAACAAACGGAGGAACTTTAAAACCAAATGAAAGGCTGACTTTGGGAAGATCCAAGTTATTGACATTATAGATCTGCTTCAGAGAATGGGAGTCATAAGCTCTAATGTAAGCTTTGTATGCTTCCTGGGCTGACTTGTGAAGAAAGTAGTTCTTCTCAATCAGTTTCTCCAGCTGGTGAGGGGAAAAAAAAAAAAAAACCCAAAAGACATATCCAATTATAGCTGTAACAACTGTATAAATTATATTCAAGCAAATTATTTAGTGTGTGAGTTGCAGTGACGTTCACTATTCACTTCAGCAAAATTGCCCTGTGATGGTAGAGTGCACATACATATATCTGAGTGCTTTTACGAACAAACAAGGGGGACAAAAAAGCCTGAAGCTGAATTACAGTACAAAGCCTCAGCAATATGAAAATTTACAGAAATATTAAATCAGGTTGTCCCAAACAAGTTAATCAAGAAGGAGTATACAACTGCAGCCACACCATAAAAAACTATGTGTACTGAGAATTAATGGACAACAACAGTATACTTTTAAGTCAGACATCTAAACGGTACCATTCCATGTAATTCTATACATAGTCTTATCTGTTACGGTGCAAATGCATTGTAAGATAAGCAGTATTAATTCTAAGACAAAAATGCAGATGCACTAGTGTAGACTGAGACATTTTATTTGTTGTGGGCTAAGTTCCCAATACTCTTTAGATCCAAGCGTCTCGTTTGATGTTTAATATACATTAATTCAGCATACTAAAAATAAGTTACATTAGACATCATTACTTCCTAATTATTCTTAACTAGGAACCTCTTTCTGTAAGGACTGTCTTCCCTGCTTCTTGTACTTGCTATTTCGAATTTAAGTTACTGCAAAGAAGCTTTACAGAGCTCTTATCAAAAGTGTGATTCACAGAACTAAACAACAATAGAAATTCACATCTACAGAACTGTCTACGCTATTCTATTGAACTTTGTGCTCCATGACTATTTCTGTAGCACTGGAGCACAAAACAGGTTTAGCTGACGCTGGGCCTTATTACCACCAGCGAGTTAAAAATACTAACATTTCTAAGTGTTGGTACTGGATCTCTTTCTGCACACTGAAATCGGAATAAATCATCTTTTAAGACATATGTGACTCGCAATTAATCTGAACATACGTAACTATTCAACAAAAGCTACCGAAACCCTGTTTGGTATGCTAGGCAAGAACATTCTGTTCAAAAGTTGAAAGCAGGTTCACATCACTGTGGTTTTGCGATGTAATGAGAAAAAACAATTCTTGCAAGCAAATTCGTACTGTATAATGAGGACAATTCAGTACTAGATATTAAAATTCATCTTTAATTTCTAAACATTTTATCGCTTTACTGTCATCAAGGGACAATATGGAAGGATTTACTGCACAGTACTCATCTACAGGGACTTTTCCAAACAAGCATACATATTTTTAAACTGAAGTTGTTATAGACTAACATTCTGCATGTAAATTATTATACAGATATTCAGAGTAGCTGTAGTATGAAATCATTTCATACCTGAGACTGGATGTCTGAGATTTTTGACCAAGAAAATTCAAATTCACTTAGTGGTACCTTAAAAAAAAAAAAGAAATAAAATATCAAAATTATTTATACTGTGTAAATAGTGAATGTGTTTAAGACCCAAGACAAACAGAAAAAGACCTGCTGCATAACAGAACATTTTTTTTAATACCACAGCTGCATCTGTCAAGTGCCTTTACATCAATATGCCAGTATTATCACTTCCTTAATTTAAGCTAGAGTAATAAAGATGCTCAGTATGACACTTTTACCACTTTAGCTTTTGCTTTAGAAGCTATACCACTTCAGTTACAAGTGGCAAAACTGTAAACAAGCCCATAAGGAGAGCAACCAAGAAACTATGTGCAGTTCTATCATATTAAAATGATTACATTTAGAGGAAGGCTATGCTTCTTTTGGAATTGAACAAAATGCAATTGACTCTTTGAACAGAAAAAATAAAAACCACACAAACAACATCAAATTTCCTCTGGATGGTCAAGCTCCCAGTATCCTTCCACAGAGAGGTCATAGGAAATTGATTTATTTTTTAATAACGCAAGTTGCACAGTTGCAAAGCAACTATAAATACACTCAATATTTACCTTTGTGCTGCTGACTTTAAAGTCAGATGTTCAGTTAAATATTTTCTAAGCAACAGAATGTTTTTTGCTTAAAAAATTAAAATGTTTGATTCATCATTACAGTTTTTGCCTTTAAAAGCCTGTTGCACAGAAAAAAAAAAAAATAATCTAGACATAAGTTTACCCTGGCTTGCTTTAGGTAACGAAGAAAGCCCAGTTCTTCCGGTCGTAAAATGAGCAGAGCATGTCCTCTACCATTTATGCCTCTGGCAGTTCTACCAACACGATGAATATATTCCTTTTGGAAAGAATAAGAAACAGCAAGTCCAATCAGTCTTTCAAACATGTAATAATCAAACAGCTTCACAAAAAAACCAAAGTTTAACATTAATATAGTGTAATGCATCGTCCATTATTTTTTAAGACTTTTTCTTAGCACTGACACATGGATGAGGGAAACCAAGTGCTGAAGATGCAAAGCATAATTAGGCTGAGACAAAACCCCTGACGAAGTATTTAACCTTGTACTGAAGAAAAAAAAAAATCTCAGTCTGCTGTAACTGAAAGTTAAACTTTGCTTTTGGTATATTTGCTCTGTATATCTGTCAAAACTTCTCAGTTTTTTGAGTTTCGCTTGTTGACATTGGACATCTATTCAAAGAATAATACTGACTTTTAGCTGATTAGATTTTAAATTAATTTAACAGCACAAAGAATAATGTTTTAAAAAGCAACTCTTGAAAAGGTAACGCAGGTCTCAGCTAGGTACAGTATTTCCTAGGAGCTGGTGAAGGGAAGTGGAAGAAATCAGTGGCTAGATATGAACACGGCTGAATCCTGACCTCTGTCAAGCAGCAGTTCCAGCTTTTCTCTGCAACTACGTTTGTAGCTGGGATTTGATTTGTTGCTGGGAAGTTTCTCTATTTCCTTAACTTACTTTTGGATCATCTGGAGGGTCATACTGGACAATCCAGTCAACTTCAGGAATATCCAATCCTCTGGCAGCTACATCAGTGCACAACAGTATTCCAGATTCTGCATTGCAGAACTGGAAAAATGTCGTAGTACGTTTGGTTTGTTTCTGCTTGCCCTAAAAGGAAACAGATTAAGAATGAAATATCAACTAAAAAAACCCAAAACAAAATAAAACCCCCAAAACCCTGCCAACTTGTAAGCTTAAATCTTATTTTCCATTTCACATATTATATCACTGCCAAAATATAAAATAATTTAGGAGATCTTTCCATATTATGGACTTGTACAGACCAAGAAGGACTATTTCACAGTGAAGAAACAATGCTACCACAGTAAACAGCACAGGGCTACATGATATGGTATCTTTCAGAGCTTACACTGTAACTTCAAAAGCATTAAAAATTTGGTTGCATAAGAATTCCTTTCAGGAGGGCTGCATAAATGCCTGAAGTTCAGAAAAAGGATATTTGCAAGTCTAGCAATATATTAGATAAATTACAGGTTTAAAAAAAAAAAAAACAAAACAAACTTGTTACAGTTCTATCAAAGTATAGCAAAAAAAATCCCCCAAAAACCAAAATAAAAAATGACATTTGTGGTCAGTTATAACTATTTCATAAACTTTCAGTCAATTCTTTCTCCTGAACTATGCATTTGGTGGTTTTGATAAAAATTTAACACACTCATCCAAATGGTAAGAATCAGCACATTAAACCAAACATCACCCTTGCCTTAGAAAAAGCACCCAACACTCCAGGGATCAGAGTGTTTGGATTCCTCTGACAATAGCTTTGCTCCACAAATTGAGTTTTAGTGCTTATAAAAAGCAACCCCTTGGAAGAAAACAGAAAGCTTTCTACACACAGAGCATAAATTAGCATCAGTGTTCAACCCTCGTTTGGAAAATAGCAAGATTAACAATGCTGAAGTGTTGTTATTACATAGTCTTTGTTTTATCTCCTTCCTCCACAGACTAATCAAGATCATCATCAGTTTTGTGAGCAGGGTATCTGTTTATTAGAAACTGGACTGAAATAAACAAGGCAAATGTAAGGTCAGTAACAACTTACGGGTACTATCAGATTAATTAATCAATGAATAAAATACTTACGTGAATGGCCAAAACAGGCAGATCAATATAGTTGAGTAATTCATAGTGGTACTTCACTGACATACATGAAGAAAAAAATACCATTAGTTTCTTCTTCCGGTTCTTCTTGAGGAATGTGAAGAGCAAAAGGAATCTTTTTTCAGATGGACACACTACATACCCCTGGAAAATTTTTAAATACTGTTAAATAAAGTAGTATGGAACAAACTTTGGTTTCAGCAATATAATCAAATCAGGGAAGTGTTATGTTGTGAAACAAATACGCCAAATAGTTAATTCTTCCAGCTATATTGGGCCAAACCATTCAATTTATTGTCTGTTCCTCACCTTGGTATACGAAACTCCTAAAGATGATGAACTTGGCGAGAAACTGACTGTACTAACTTGAAATATGAAGAAGTAATTTTTAATTAATTCTCCAAACTAATGTAAGTTCAGTGAAAAGTAATTAGTTTATCCAATAAAAATTCATTTCAAGAACTTTGAATTACTGACATTATGCATGAAAAAAACTGCATAGGGTTCTTAACATTTTTTAATGATTTCAAGAATTTTATTTTACAGAATTCTGGCTACTGGTTTACTCTTTCAAGGTAATACGTAGCTACCGGTAATTTTATAACAACACTCACCATGTCAACTGCACAAACACAGAAACGGCTGTGCAACTCCATTTAGCTATTATCTGAAGCAGCAACAATGAAATATATCTGAAGTATACATGTCTCTAGTCAGTAACATGGAAAATACAGGTTATTTTTCTAACGTTAGAAAGACAACTGGAGCTTAGGTATGTAATACAGGTAGGAATAGACAAGTGCAAGTAACTATATTACCGTTTCACGAGATTTTATGTCATCTGTCCTGCAAACATTGACTAGATGCATATAACTTACTATAGTTAGCAGACCGAATAAGGCCCTTCAGGCAACTGATAGCTTTTGCCCATTAGGATGGTAATCACCCTTCAAGACAGTGTTTGTACAACCCAGTTAAAAACAGATAGGACTTGGGATGTTCACAGATCATACCCCTTTTAATAACATTTGTGTTTTACCTGTTCAAGACCATCTACTGTTGCTGTCTCCTTGTTATCATCAACCCCAACATATAGTGGCGCTTTTTTCAGAGAGATCTTTGCCAGATCATCAACCTTTCTGGTTTGTGTGGCAGAAAAAAGCATCGTCTGTCTGCGCTCTGAAAAAATATTTATTTTTAAAGGCAGCCTCATTTTTTAAAGGAGAATTCAAATAGCAAGTCCATAAAATCTCTAGCTGCAAACTTCCCTGACCAAGTCTTCTACTCTTTTCAATTACATTCTAATTCAAACATTCTGCTACTGACAAAGACAGGTGTAGTTGTATTACGGATTGTACAGGATGTTTACTTAGGCTGCCCTCACCCCCAAAACCCTAACAGCTATCAAAACACAATATTCCTTCTCTCTGGGAAAATGTTAATAATCATTTGCACTCCAATTTAGACACAAAACAATGATTTAAATAGAGACCGACCTTGTAATTCTAACTATAAATTGATTTCATTCCCATGAACATCAACGTTTAAAAAAAAAAAGAAAAAAAAGAATCATGCTAGAGATTGTGCAAGAAAAAAACGTACCGAAACTAAAGTGCATTGTTACCGTTTGTCTTGCAAAATCAGCCTAGAACATAGACACATTTCTGCATGCTGTTTAGTCAGGTGGGAGTACGTCTGTACTGAGCCTCAGTGACTTCAATGGTCTTAGAGCAGGTGTAGGAAATCTCCTGCCTGCCTGTCACCTCTCAGCTCAAAAATACATCCTGATCCTGTAACATTTTCTTGTTACACGAGTACATGGAAAATGCAGACTTAGCCTGTTCCATTTCACAACTGCAAGAACAGTAGCAATTGTTCTTGCCGAACTGCCGGTGCCACCATTTTTGATGTTTTTTTTTTTTCTATTTTGAAGTGTCTGTTCTAAAATAATTTCCTTCCTAACAGGACAAAACCAAATTAAAACTCATGCAAAGTAAAAATTTCTTTTATCTATCATTTCCCCACTCGTCCTTCCCTTTCCATTTTTAGCACTGTTCATTAATATTCTTCACAGGAAGCTATTTATTAGATTTATATATCTGCATTTTAAACATGCAGATCTGGATTTTAATATTTAAGATATGGAACATCAAAATATTTATCACTGGTTTTTTTATATATTATTTCCATGGGGGGGGTGTTCTGCATTTTGAAAGTTAAAGGGAGAGCCTTGTTGACTCTGAGAATGTGTTTAATACATCAATTACAAGGAATAACTAAATGAAAAATTAGGAAAAGAAAATTTTAAGGTAAATACTTAAACTTCCTGTTTAAGATACTGTTCTTGGAGGTTTGAAGAAAATTCGAACTGCAAGTCAGAAGACCTTTTTCCTTATATTTAAGCCTTATTAGGAAAAAATGAATTGTATGAAATAAACGGGCAGAGGAAGATGAATGAGAGAATGCAGATGTTAAACTAAAAGGATCTTATACGAACAGAATTATATCCCTAAAGTGCACACGAAAATTCTGTCCTTCAGATAAATGATGTTAAATAAAGTAATATATACTAGCTATCAGAAAGAAAGGACAGAGTAAGACAATCACTCTGAAGTGCATTTACAGAACTATAAAAATTAATGACTTCTCTTATAATAATTGAGTCATAAAGAAGACATAATGTTAGTCAAGTGATTTCCAGGAAGAGATTTTTTTTCCTTACTTGGTAGAAGTTTTATGATCTGTTTCATTTCTTCTTCAAATCCAACCTCCAAGATACGATCCGCCTCATCAATTACCAAACACTGCAGGTTCTTATACATGAAACCTGGAGTGTTCTAGAAGATTAACAAATTCAGAGTCAGATGGGGACAGGAGTTTTATTATGTTTTAATAACGCAGACTAGACATCAATGTTTTATCTACCTGCATATGATCCAGCAGTCTTCCTGGTGTTGCTACAATGATGTTGATTCCATTTCCAAGTTTCTGTGCTTCTGCTGATCTGTTACTGCCCCCCATTATCAGACCATAGGTGTGAACATGATGATTCATAAGTTCTTTAAGAACTCCATAGGTTTGCATAGCAAGCTCTCGAGTAGGAGAAAGAATAATAACACCCGTTCCTAAAAAATACATCAGACAAGAGTAAGTTACAACTCGTCCAATCCCCCTCCTAGCCACATCCCTAAATGGCTGCACCACAGTAAAATTCAACTGTGAAATGAAGAGCCTTACCATTTCTAGGCATGAATTTTAGCTTGTAGATGAGCTCTACTGCAGGAATAAGAAACGCGAGTGTTTTGCCACTGCCTGTTTTTGCAGCTGCTAAAATATCCCTGTACGCAGCAAAGTAAGAAAAAGAAGTACTTAGTTGATCATACAGAGAAAAGAACAATCCTATTTTGAACAATGTTGACAACGTAAAAACATAACGTGGCTTAAAGGAAACCAGTGAAGTTGATATGAAGAGCTCGGTGGCAGATGCGGTGCACAGCAATTGGTCACTATGTCCCTAGTGACAGCGTGAGACGGTGTCTTTGAGACACACTGACAAGACGACTAGTGAAAACAAACTTCCCCGCTTTCAAAGCCAAAGCAGTTTCCATGAGCTTACTCTAAGTTTTTCTTCACATGCAACACAGATATACTTTGTTAACCTGTATTAATGTCTATAAACAAAATACAGAAAACATATGAGAACATATTAAAAAAAAAAAGTTTAGCTGCAGAAAGTCACATTTCACGTGTTTAGCTTGCTAGCAAAATTTACACAACATTTGGGGTCAATGTAGTGATTAAAAAGATGTAGTTCTTACCTGCCTTCCAGAAGCGGCTTAATACTTTTATGCTGAATTTCGGTCATGTGCGTAAAACCCATGTCATTTATGCCTTTCAATGTATTCTCACTGACAACACCAGCCAGGGAAGTAAAAGAATTGTCTTCAAAAGCACCTGAAGTGAGGGGGGAAAATAAAAAAAATATTCAAACTTATTTCTCCAATTCCATCTGTCCTCTGAGATTACCCAGTTAAAATTGACCTAGATGAAAAAAAATCAAAGGACTTTTTCTTATTTCTTTCTACCATAAAATCTGAAGACATTGACAAAATACTCTGTGTTAATGTGTTCCTAAGAATACTACACAGAGCTGTTAAAAATGAACATGAATGCACTGCTTCTCCTGCCAAATTTACTAGTCATACACCTCCATCTTGCTCTTCATTGACTTTTGCTCTACAGTTAAACGTATGTGTGTATATATGTTTTAAAACAGATTTTCACTAGTAATTTTAAGACTAACAGGAGTGTGTATATAATGCAAATTTCAAAGAACAGGAACTGACTAATAGCTGTACAGTTGCCAGTGTCATGTCACCTATATTCAAACACCTGACTTAAAAAGCTGATTTAAAAACTGCAACTTGCTCCGGAAGAAAACGCCAGACCTTGGCTTTTTGCACATCCGTGAAAAAGAGGACACAAGATACCTGTTACACCTAGTGGTAAACTGGGCACTTCATCCTCCTCCCCCTCCTCCTCTTCCACTTCTTTCTCTCCAGAATCCTGCTTATCTTCATCTTCTACCTCCACAGATTCATCTTCTTCAGTTTTTGCTTTTTTAGTTTCTGTACCTAGAGTGTTATTTTACAGAAGTCAAGTCAGTCAGAGATACGAAGAACGTGTTCCTCATTAAAAGTTGTTCCAGAGAGTGAATGTCTTTAGCCTGTTAAACCCCTTACAAATGTCACGCTTTTTTTTGTGGGGTGGGAGGGGGGCAGAAGGGGAGGCAAGGTTTCTGTGGTAATTTCTGAGGCAGAGAGCAATTCAGAAGTTCCTTGCACACAATCCACTTCGCACAGTAAAATAGTGAAGCTTCATGCATACTATATGAAATTTTCTGTGGAAACATGGAAAAAGTTACAGATAGGAAAGAATTTTGTAACGCAGACATCAAGTTTCCAACACGGTTTGTGCTCAGGTCATGCGAAATGTAATGTCTGTTCTGTTTTAAGTACCTGAATCCTCAGAGAAATGCATGAAAACACCTCTTTATTTGCATAACCATGCGAAGCGTCACAAAGATCAAACACAAAAGAGACAGAAGTTTCAAATATATATATATGTGTGTGTATATATATGTATAAAAATATATAAAAATCTAGCAATATTTGCAGGATGCAATTTTTGGGGGTAGTCTCCCAGCATACTTAAGTTTCATAATATACGGATGTTGCCAAAGGCTGAACGCCTTGCTAAAAAGACGTACTGGCTGGACATTCAAGCACAGGAAACATCCCTCTGTCAAAGCTCTACTTTGAAAGACAGTATTTGTATAATAAACAAGCAGAACAGCCAAACTTAATGCTACAAAGCAGAATCCTATGCAGCAATTAAATTGGTTGCTACCGGTTTAGTACATATGAGAGCTGACGTGTTACAGTTGGAATAGGAGAACAGGTAATACTGAAGACCTCCAGGGCTTTAAAACGTACGCCAGACCAACACGCGGTACGTCTCGCACTCCAGCCGACAAATCCTCTCCCACCGGGCGGAAAACGAAAGTAGGCGCTTTTGGGGTCTCCAAGATAACTCAGCCCTGGGAGACACGGTGTATTTGTTAAGATAACGTACCGCCTTCCGCATTAGCCGCCGCTTTCCTCTTTTTCTTCTTCCTCTTCTTCGTCTTCTTCCTCCTCTTCGTCTTCTTCAGCTTCGTATTCGTCTTCTTCGTCTTCGTCTTCTTCGTCTTCTTCTTGTTCTTCTTCGTCTTCTTCTTCATCTTCCTCTTCTTCT